TAATATTAACAAGAGCTTATACACTCTTAATTTTCTTAGTTTCCAATTCTTATCCTTTCATTCATTATCGGCTAAAATACATATAATCTCCCCTAGGAGTCTCCAAAAGTTCAATATTGGCTCTACCTACTCCATTTTTCACTATCTTCAAGTATCTTCCTACTTCATTATTCACTTAACTGGAATGTGTCATTCCCATCACTGAACTTGTCACGATTTTGATTTCCTCACTGAAAGCTTCATTAAGAGTATTAATGATGCTGATCTATCCAGAGCTACATATTCTCTTCATTGACCATACCAGATATTTGTTCTTACTTATTTGTTTCTACTTCATCTAGATCATTTTAACTTATATGGTTAAGTTTTTAAATATATGTTTAAAATAAGTATTTTACTCTCCTATAAATATTCAATGACTGACTTAAGGGGGCTGGTTCTGTGACTTCCACGTTTCTCAAAGTAGAAAGTTCTATGCATAAAGTTTTTTCAAATTTACTTGTTATTTAATAAAGATGAAACTAATACACAGAGACATCAATCATATGCTTTCCCTTTCCCTTTATATATATATAAAGTGAAGAATATATATATATAATAGAAGAATGCAGAAAACTATTAACTCATATGTCTTAATCATCTAACTCTGTCAAGTTAATATGGTTCACTAATTTATTTCAAAAATTTTAAGAGAGCTGACACAATTCAAATACAGTTGAAGTCCCCTTGGTTGGTATTCCATTCCCATACTATCCAATCCCATCCCTACCTAGAAGTAATCATGATACTGAAGTTTTTATTTACCATTCCCATGTAAACTTTTATTACATATAACTGCACTACTAAACAAATTATTTTCTATTTTGACTTTAAATAGTGTAACACTGAATATATTCTTCTGCAGCTTGTTTCTTATTTTTTATTGAAATATAATTGACTTACAATATTATGTTAGCTTCAGGTGTACAACATAGTAGTTGATTTCCAGTCTCATAGTACTGTGGTCAGAAAAGATGCTTGATATGATTTCAATCTTCCTAAATTTAATGAGACTTGTTTTGTGGCCTAGCATGTGATCTATCCTGGGGAATGTTCCATGTCACTTGAAAAGAATGTGTATTCTGCTGCTTTTGGACAGAATGCTCTATCTATCTATCTATCTATCTATTTATCTATCTATCTATCTATCTATCATTTATCTATCTATCTATCTATCAACTATCTGATGATGGACAGGGCCAGATCCTGGGGTATAGCTTGTTTCTTTGTGTAAAAGTTTGTTTATTATTTCCAAGCTGGTACATAGAGCTCCAGTTTGTACACTTTTAACTTGTGTATAATACTTTATTATTTAAAAAGTACAAATCATTTTCCTATTGATGGACACAAGTTTTCTCTCTATTTTGTGGGGCTTAAAATAGTGTTGTAACGAATATCATCTCATAGCGTGCAACTGTTAGAGTTTCTCTAGGATGTATAGTTAGTAGACTAATTCAGGGGTCAAATTATATATGCATATTTAGTTTTGATAGATATTACCAAATTGCTCTTCTATACGATTATTTGAATTTTCTTTCTCACAAGCGATGAATGCCACTGCTTAGTAATGCTAAGGATGTTAATTGTTGCTAGTATATTTGAGGTCAGTAATATTTCATTTTTTATTTTAATTGGAATTCCATAATTACTACTGAAGTTGACCATCTACTAAAAGTGAGAACCTATAGAAATTTGTGTGATCATGTTTTATTTCCGTATTGTTTGTTTGGGTTTGTGTTTTTGTTAATTGCCTGCTGTTTGTCTTTTATGTATTAATTAGTAGAAATTCTCCATGAATTATGGAAAATGTTTTTCAGTTGTAAACTATAAGGGTACTTATCACATAGGCTCTCTTCATCTCTGCAAGCTGAGGGCAGAGTTTCATGAATGTTCTACGCACACACAGGGTAAGCTGAAAGTAGGAGAGTTAAAGCCCCATAAGCTACTCTGTACCAGTGAGCAAGGCTATTTGATTAATAAACATCCCTGCTTCCTTGCCCATTAATTGTGGTAATTCAGAGAACTTTTCTCTCTGTCTCATGCAGCAGTCCCCAGCAGGACTATGTTCCTGAGACTATGGTAGTTTCTGGCTTGATTACATACTTTTATTGGCTTTATTTTCCCCACTTTTCACTTTCCAACTCATTTCTTGGACTTTCCATGGATTACCTTACAAATAAATTTTAGAAACTCATACAAAAATCTTTGCTGCACTTCTGTTCTGTTGTAGCCAAACAAAAACATACACAGTAAAAAAAAGAAAAGAAAAAAAAAAGGAAACAATCCATTCTGTGTCTTGTTTTTACTTTCTTTTTATATCTTTTGTTTAAAAATCACTCAGTGTTATTATTGGCTAAATTTATCAATATTCTTCTACCTAGTTCATCCTTTTATTTTTTAATAAAATTAAAAATGTTTATTCTTTTTTAAAAACTCCCTTAGTATCCCACATCAGGAGGACATCTTCCTACATTTTCTTCAAACTTTTTTCTGCAGTTTTTCTGTATATTTAACCCACCTGGAATTTATTTTTCTTCATGATGTGAGATAAGGATCTAATTTTATTTATCCTGAGATGACTAACCTGCTGACCCAGCATCATTTCTTGAATAGCCATCCTTGTCTCACGTATTGGTAAGACTATCTTTTTGACATGTGAAGTTTCCACATATGAATCAGGATGTTTGTGGGATCTTTATTCTACTGAGATATTTTTCTACCCCTGGACCAATACCACGCACTCTTTATTATTATAACTGCTTAATGAGTTTTGTTATATGATATGCCAAGTTCCATTTTATTTTAGTAAATTTTTCAATTTCAGGACATATGATTTGTCCGTTTTTCACATTAACCTGTTTGTTTTATTTCATTCTGTCCTTTATAAATTAATGCCTTTTTAAAGGAAAGCTATTCTTCCACTCATTTATTTGAACATATTAAGTATAATCACTTAAAACATATAATTTAAGGAAAATTTATAATATGAATGCTGATTTCATTTCTGAACATAAGTATATATATTTTTTATTTTCAATCTTATGTTTAATATATTATTGTCCTGTGCTTGGAGCATAGTATGTGAACTCATTTTGTTATATTCTCCTTCCCTTATATAAAGTCAAAATAAAACAAAGTTCTACTCGATTTCCTGAAAGCAAATATGCTGCACCTGCATCAGCTATAATGAAGAAAACAGTCATTGTACTTCCATATTCTTGGCTCCCCAAATTCAAGTGTCATTCTCCAGGCTCCTATTGTATGGGAGGGTCTCATCTATTACTAGGATATAAATAAGATAAAGCTCTCCCAACTCCACCAGTGATGTCTCTCATTTCATGTGTATTTTAAAGGGATTAAGAATACAGTTAGTATTAATTCAGTTAAATAAAAAATATAAATACATTCCATGACATACCTTTATTTATTTATATTTCACTTTTTACCAGCAAGGCTTTCAGAGAGCAACATGTGGTTCTTTTCCTTTAAGAGTGAAGAAAAAACAAACATGGCTCTTGCTTATTTTAGCCAATTATAAAATGCCACAATTTCAGCACATTAACCTCTGACCTAGTACTTCCTTATCTCTGGCCAGTTTTACTTGCCAGAACAAGAGGTAAATTGGTTTACTTCAGAACAGGTTTGGTTTTATTTATTAATTTTTAATTCTAAACTCATTGTTATTCAAAGTGTGGAAGTTCCCATGATAAACTGTACTTTAATTATCAGAGAACAGTCCTGGTTTTCCCATAACCACAGTTATGAGTGTGGAATTTTCAACATGTCCTCTTGTTATTATTGACTTTTTTTTTTTTTTCTGTATGCGGGCCTCTCACTATTATGGCCTCTCTCGTTGCAAAGCACAGGCTCCGGACGCGCAGGCTCAGCGGCCATGGCTCACGGGTCCAGCCGCTCCGCGGCATGTGGGATCTTCCCAGACCGGGGCACGAACCCGTGTCCCCTGCATCGGCAGGCGGACTCTCAACCACTGCGCCACCAGGGAAGCCCTATTGGCATTTTTAAAAAGATAAAGTCCTGGGCAAGTGAGTAATGTCTTCCCCACCCAGAATACTTTCTTAAAATAGAAAAAAAAAAAGCTTAATTCCTCTCACAGCTGCTACTCCTGTTCATTGATAACTACACGAGGCCATAAAAAGTGGGCATATGAAGCCTTGTTTCAGTGGACTTTCCTTTAGGTTAGATCAATACTCCCTTACACTGCATAACTTCACATGGGTGACGTAATGAAGATTACAAAATTTGTGATTGTTTCAATAAGAAAAAAAATATATATATATATATATATATATATATATATATATATATATATGTATACAGAGATACAGAAAAAGAGAGAGAAAGTGGGATATAGGGAGGGTGGGAAGAGAGATTAAGTATTAATATATATATTAGGCTTTATATATATATATATACACATACACACACATGTGCTTAAAATTTATCTTTAGAATGTCTACACCTACATAAAACAGGAAAAAATGCCTTAATAATGACTTGAGTCAGAGGGTGGAAGGTTGATCTGTTAGGGACTCTTTACAAATATCATGTGCATGTGCCCAATGATTAATTTGACTACCATGAATTTCATATTTCTTCTACCAGTTCTCAAAATGATAAAGTATCATTTTTGTTTACAACATGCAGTTAACATCATTCACACTGACAACTGGCCTGTTCAGGTGATTAACATTTACAACTCTAAGCTTCTCTGTACTCACTAATATCTTTTTAAACATTAACTGCACTTTTAAAGCTACTTAATGTATAGAGACATAATGTTGCCAAAGGGACATACACAACTCATTTACACTGACTAGTAAGACTAGTGTAGATTTGTTAGACAAGTCTTCTTGGAAAACTTGAGAGCTTGTGCTCTTCAGCTGGTGAAGCTTCTATGCTCTCTCAGAGCCCTTAGAGTAGCAAACCTTCAAAAACCAAAGATGGGCTCAAAGCGAAGTGTACCCTCAAGGAGCCATTCTCTCAGCACCTATGAAGTCATGTTTGCAGCTCTCTTTGCCATATTGGTGGTGCTCTGTGTTGGGTTAATTGCAGTGGCCTGGCTGTCAATCAGGGGATCAGAAAGAGGTAAGTCATATAGACCTGGCTACAGAAAAGTGCTCTCAGATGAATGTATACACTTTAATCTCCAGAATCCTGCCAGCATATTATATGCATTGCTGTGCTTTCATGGCAAGGTGTTTATATTGCATCCAGATGCTTCACCGTAGTTTACTTCATAGAATTTTTTTAACATGATATATAATTTGGATTTTAATTCAGGATTCAAACATGAGACTAAGTTTTTAAAACAGAAAATGATAATGTTCTCAGTTCCAACATATAATAAAGTAGGTTCATAGCCTGTGGGTCTGTTCTGATAGAATTTAAGTCATAAACCTATTCAAACATTGTTGACCATAGAAGAAGATAAGTAGGCCAGGTTAAAGAAAAAATATTGTTTATTTCTAGAGAATTATATGTTTATTCTCTTATTAGTACAACAATTTGAATTGCAACAGTATAAGGCAACTTGAATGTAATTGTGGATTTATAAAGATCTCAAGTTGCCTGAGTAGCAATTTGTGATTGACAGAAAGAAAAAAGAAAAGGTAATTCTTATTTAGAGCTAAATTACCTGTACCAACTGCTTTTAAAAGATCTCCAATTGTATTATCTTGTTACAACAAACCTACGAGTTAGTTTTTATTATTACCCTCCTTTTATAGGTGAAAAATCAGAGACAGAGAATTTAGGTAACTTACTTAAATTTGCAACATTGCCAGGTGGTGCAAACTAGACAGTCCAACTTTAGAACTTGTGCTCTTCTTTACCATTTATTCATTTCTAAGATAATTTTTTTAAAATGGCAGCATAGGAGAAACTTGGGTATTAGATTTATTTTTTCTGAGAACATTTTCACATTTTTAAAAAAAATGATGAATTATATATAGGCATATTAATTCCTTCTGAAAACTCTCAGGGCAAAATCTTTTATATGTGAGTGATTTGGGTTTTACCAAGAAAACAAAATGCTCAGCCTTTGAGGTAGTTATTTTCCCTTAGTAAATAAGTAAATTAGAATGTAATAAATATGATTTATAGTTTTATAAAATAAGTCCAATATAATTTCTGGTTTATTTAACTACTATAGCTACATACAGGAATATATTTTAAAGAGAAAGAAAGCTTGTGATATTTTATATAATTATAAGAACAATTTAATAAATTATAGAAATTCACTGAGACTTTTAGAAAAGAGGCTGCTTGGGTCTTACTTAAATACTGTGAATAACTTCAAGGATATGTAATTATTTGGAAGTCTATTGGAAGCCTTGATGCTCAATAAAAATACAAAAGTTAGTTATTTTACCAGAAAAATAAAAAAATAAATATTTATAAATGTTAATATGATTTAATTGAACAACTGAATATAAGAAGGGATTTGAGATAGGCAGTAATAGAACACTAGAGGATATAAGACATTCTACTTTCAGTACATACTTTTACTCTTATATACTCTTAACACTTTTTATTGAAACTATTGTAGACTTTTAAAAAGTTGCAAAAATTGTAGACATTCATCCAGCTTCCCCCAATGTCAATATCTAGTACACACATAGTATAATTGTCACAACCAAGAAATTAACATTGTTACAATGTTATTAACTGAACCAAACACTTTATTCAACTTTCACCAGTTTTACCACTAAGGTCTTTACCTGTTCAGGATCCAGTGCAGATTCCAACACTGGGTTTAGTTATCATGTTTCCTTAGTCTCCTCTAATCCATGACAGTTCCTCAGTCTTTCCTTGCCTTTCACTTTTAAATATGCAAGTCTAAATGTTATTTTGAATATTTAAAAAACAAATGAAATAGTATTAATAATATGTTACATCAATTATGCAATGGTAACTGTATAGACGAAGTGCAAGTTTATTGTTTAAAGTAATAATTCTACAGTTCCTTCTGGACTAGGAGATTTGTGTCAATATATGACAGATCTTGGGTTCTGAAGTCAGTCAATCCTTTTTCTAAATTCCAGATCTGTCACTTTTATCACATTGGGAAATTTTCTTAGTGAATCTAAGCCCAAATTTCCCCATCTGGGAAAAGAAGAAATAACATCTTCTCATACCAGGTCAATGCATCATTATTATTACATTTACTAATGATTTCATCATTGTGTGAGTTTCACCTGAAGCAATTCATTTTAAATATAAATATATATGCAAAGAAAATAATCTCATAATGGGATTGTACTGGCCTTAGTGGCACATTTTATTTCCCATGTTTGTATTCAGTTTGTTAGCTTTTTTCTTATATTGTTTCATATTGAGATAATAAATTTTCTGCAGCATTCTCAATAACTTCTCCAGTAATGACAGTCTCCATCTAATGGCAAAAGGTCATACATGCCAATTTTATAATTATTAGAATGAGAGAAGTAGTTTCAAAGCTATGCTCCAAAGTAATACACACACTGAAATCTTCACAGCAATCCACATGTAGAAAATGAGCAGTGTCCCTTGATGCCAGGTGTTCAAGAAGTATCTGAAAGTAACTACAAAACTTTTAATGGTCCACTTCTCACTATGTTTCCCTGAATCAGTTCCCATGATTGGTGGAAGTTGATCATCCCTGTATCTTCCAACAGAAATCTCAATGACAAAGAAACAAAAACCAAACAAAACTTGGAAGCTTGGAGAGTTGGTTAGACTTCAAAGAAAAGAAAAAAATAATAATGGGATAGAGAAGAAGAAGTTTAATATTCAATCTTTTAAAACAACTAGATAGCTAAAAATATAAGTTAAAAAATAAAAAACAGCTGATGATGAAACACGAAGACTGCAAAGAAAAAAATCAAGAACTCCAGGGCCAACACATTAAGCAAGAACTTTACTTCTATGTCTTAACCAGAATGTGCATATTTTCTCTTATTCATTATTCACATTTTCAGTGTTTTGTTTCTTATTAATTCATCTAGATGCAGCATTTGGAAAAAGTCATGAAGCCAGAGGGACATTGACAATAACATCCGGAGTTACATATAATCCTAATTTGCAAGACAAACTCTCAGTTGATTTCAAAGTTCTTGCTTTTGACATTCAGCAAATGGTAAGAGACCTTCTTTCCTCAACTAGTTTAAAATTTCATAACATAGTTTTGCTAACCACTTGCCAAAAGATACATAGATCTTGTTCTCTTTGAAAAAAATTAGTCAATAAATGTAAATGTACTTACATTTACATTTACTCATACTTAAATGTATGAGACCCATCATCACAGAGAAGGAAATCACTCTAATACAGTTCTAAGTAGAATATAAAGATTACTTTGTTTAAAATTTTAAACAAAATCTTAAATTTAATATGCCTTTTCTTAACCTTTTCTTTTTTTAGATAGATGATATCTTTCAATCAAGTAATCTGAAAAATGAATATAAAAACTCAAGAGTTTTACAATTTGAGTAAGTATAGCTCAAAATTTTTCTATAGATAGAAAGCACAGGATCACAAAATAGTGATCTTTTTGTTAATATTTGTAAAAGAGTGTCACTATTTTTAGGAGAAAATGGAACATTTTGAATTTTCAACATTTTCCAGGAGGATTGAGAAAAGTGGCATAGTATAAACTTTTATATTTGTAACAAATAATAATAATAATGCTAGATAATTTATCTCATATTAACATGATTCTCTCTCCTAAGTGCAAAATCTTTCAGAGACACATGGAGAAGGCTGAGGTTGACTGCATACAGATGCCTAGGAGTCTTGACATTTAACCTATATCAAATAGAAGCCATAGGGTACTCCAGGTCATTGGAGAATGCAGTGAGCCTCACTTTATAGAAAGACTAATCTCCTATCTCAAATCAGAAACAATTGAACCTGAAAGCCTGGCACCAAAGATACTTGGTACATGGTCTTCACAAAAGTCCTGACATTAGTAAAAGGGTCCTTAGTTCTCAATGATCAAATAGAGGTAGGGAGGTCAAGTCAAAGGAAAAGAGATTATGTTTAGAAAAAGAAAAACAATGACAGAATTAGTTAATGGGCAGAAGGAAACTTTAGGCCTTGCCATTTCTTGTTGGAACAAAATGTATCCACTTAGTGGAAGCCACCATGAAAAAAAGCACAAAGAATCATTTTATACCAAAAAAAAAAAAAAAATTAGAACTCTGTTTCCTTCTTTGTCACCTACTTATCTATCTATATTTATCATTCTTTATCCCACTGCATATTCATGAGATCATAGTCTCAGTAGCCAGTCCACCCTCCCTCCATCTACTGGCTTCATTCTTATCCACAACACAGAGGCTTTGACTCCTGTTTTCCAGGACTTAGATCTCTGATAGCCTCTTTCATGGCCTAATTTCAGGGCTATAATGACACAGGTGAACTCTCAGGAAAGGTTTTTATTATTTTCTTTTGTTTGTGTGTTTTCCTCAAAGCACTGTTTTAAAATATTTATTCAGTATTTATTCTGTGAAGGTAAAACCATGCATGAAAGATTTTATTTCACTTTATTTCTCTGCTTTGGAATGAGTGGAACCAATTTCTCTTTTCCAGTTTTGGAGAGGATTGACCGTGGAGATCTGCATTAAATCTTCAATTCAAATTTAGTTCTTAAAGGTTTTAGAACTAAAACCTTGCTTAAGGAGAGGTAACCCTGGTCCTTCCTCGCCTTCCTCAGGCTCTAACCAGTGAAACCCATGCAAAGCACAGTATCTAGTGCAGAGTTTATTAGGATAGTTTTGCTAATGGAACTCTTTGTCTTCTCTTGTTTACAACATGCTGGATAACTTTGTTTTTACTAGATTGGGAAAATTTGCTGAATATAGACTTTTATATAAGGTCTGGTGATTTATCAAAATCCGAGCATTTTCTTTGATATTTATTAAGTAAACTTATGTTTCTCTAGATAGTAAAATCACTATATGTGAAACTGTAAATTATTTGAGCTAAGGAATTATTTCTTTCCCTTCCTTTAAACTACCTAGGAGACTAATATAGTTCCTAAGCCTTGATACGTATTTTATAACAATTCTCAAATAATATACTTCATCAGTGTAGAGAGACTTTCACCTCATTGTAGCTGAACTACTTTTAAATCAGAAGTGAGTTTTTAAAAGATGCAATGCAAAGGAATTTCATGAAAATGTCTGTAATATAAATTACAGGTAGGTACTTTGGGAGACAGAGAAGAAAAGGATGAGAAAAATTCAGAAGCAGGAAAGAAAGTAACAAGCAAACGTTTAGGTTTACTTTAAATAATCATATTTAAAATGACATATTCCACTTATAGAAAAAATTGACAGACTCCTAATTCCTTTTGTAAATTATTTTCACCTTAAACTCCAATTGATAAAATCAAGACACAGAAATAACTGACTTCTCAACTAACTAACAATAGCCACACCAACTGTGAAAAATACATCTAAAGATCCTTTAAAATGCCTATTTCCTTTTTTGTTACTGATTTTACTGAAATACACACCCTATTCTTGTGTACATGGTCAAGTTATAGCACTCAGAATACTAAACTTAGTCATTAATCTATCACTTCTTCCTTTTAAAAATATTATTTAATGTCAAATCTTGCTCCCCCTGCTAAGTTGTGTGTGTGTGTGTGTGTGTGTGTAGAGCCACTCTACAGGACAAGCAAATGGTTTACACTCATCTGGGAACACTTTCTATTATTCTGCTTTGTGGAAAGCGCTTTGACTCAAAGAGCATTTAGGAGTTGATTCTTCTAATAAAGTGCTGTTTACACTTTATGGCAATATGAAGCTTATTTTGCCCTTTGAGCACAGATACGTCATCAAGTTAGGAAAGGAAAGACTTTTGTTTACTCAGCAACCCTAGAGGTTATCAGTATCATTAAGGAAAATAAGAGATAAGAAACATTTGATTTATTGCACACAGGCTCTCTGTATAATGATAGGATTTATCTGTTAAAAACAAAAAAAACCAGACTCAGATATTCCACTGGAACAGTACTTTGAAATGAAAATGGCCATTGTTTTTTTTTTTTTTTCCTAAAGGAAGAATTCACATTACCTTAATAAATAAATTCAATTTCACAGCAGTGATAGAGATCATTATTAAACTACTAACATAATATAGCTTTCTTATTACATGAAACACAAATGTTTATTATGGGTTTCCTGATTTTTACTGTATATCTCTCTTATCTCAACATATACTCTGAATAAGAAAAAAATTTTAAAGAATACAACTGTATGTGGATATAGGATCTGTCACTCCTGTCCTTGCAAAGTATAAATTATTAAATTCAATGTATAATTCACAAGTAAGAAAACACATCTTTCATACAAAGATGTTTTATGCCTGAGGATGAACTTATCCAGTTACTTTCAACTCAGTGAAAGAAAATTCCAGATTTGTACGCTCTCTACCAAAATTACCTTACCTCTTTTACTCCCTAACTCAAATAAAATAAAAGCAAGTGGTCAGTCAAACTTAATATGTGAAAGTTACACAAAGAGAAAAATCCGATTTCATCAGAATTAAAGCTATCTGCTGTGCAACCAAGGAGGTAAAGATTAGAAATTGAAGACAGAGAAACTAATGGACTTTGCTCACTCTCACTTTATCTTTACCATATTGAACCCTGTCCATTTAAGAATTTTTGGGGGGTGAGGTTTGTTAAGGAGACAATGAAAAGGAGGAAGCAGAGGAGGAGGAAGAGATGGAGGATGAGGGAAAATGAGAAGAAAAAGAACAGGTGGCGGGGAGGAGGAGGGAGAAAGGGAAAGGGACAGGAAGAGGGAAGCTTCTATCTCTCAAAGTGTGGCGGCAATAAAATATCCATCCTCCCCCCCCCAATTCCAACTAGCTATTTTCTGCATCTTTTTAGATATAAAGTTCTGGTAACAATGTAAGATGATAAAAACCTGGATCTGCATCTAGGCAAATGTGTTGTATTGTCTTTCCTATTGACAAATAGTTCATAATGGTGTTGATAGCAGTGGTATGTGGGGTGGGGATGGGAACTATAGCAAAACACATCTGGGAAACAGAGGTTCTGGGTTTTATTCCTTTCTCTCTCTCTGATATTAATAAGCTGTATAACTCTAGGCAAGGTTACCTATATTACTCTGAGTCTCATTCTCCCTATTTATAAAATTGCAATGTTGGCCAACATCAGATGCAAAAATAGAGTCATCTCCCTTTTCTTGAGCATCTGTTTAAATAAATATGGATGAGGCCTGAGAGTTGTATGCCAGTTAAGATTTTTTTAATTGCAATTAACAGAACATGTGACTAAAAGTGCCTTAAACAACAAGAATTTACCATCTGACATCACAAGAAATCTGGAGGTTTCAGCAGAGGTTAATTCAGTGGAACAATGACAGAGATATAATCAAGAATTTAGGTGGTTTCATTGTTTTATTGTACTATCTTTAGCTTGTCAATCATAGCTTGCCTCATGGTCCCAACATAGATGTGACAGTTCCAGCAATCACATGTATACATAATAACATTCAACAAAGAAGAGTAGTAGTCCACTATGAACCTTTATTTGATTAAATATAGAGAAGTTTTCAAGAAGTTTCCAATCAGCATCCCCTCATGTTCCATTGACCAGGGCCTCGTCATATGCCCATGAATAAAACTATCATTGACATGAGAAATGGTTGGAGAAGCCATGAGAAAATGGAAAGTTATTCTCAAACAAAATTAGAGACCAGCCAGCATGGAAAAATTAACAAGTGTGGAAGAATAGATAAAAACAGTGTCTGTGATGAAATCTATTTTTATCAAGGACAGCAGTGATTCCATGTGCGGGTAAATTTGGGAACCCGGACCTAAATAGTTACTAAGGAGCCTTGCCATTTACAAGATTTGGATACTCTGATTTAATCAGATGATTGGAAAGTTAAACATTCTAACATTTTAAAATAATATATCTAATAGAGGTGAAATGTGCAATTATTGATCAGAGAATCCTGTTCACATCAATCATGAAAAGCTAGCTACATAAAAAGGAATCACTTCTGTTAAACGATGAACCTGAATAGTAGCACAGAAACCAAAAAGGAATATCCTACCGAGAGGAAATGCTGATCTGCTGTGATCTTTCAGGAACATTTTTATCCTGTATATAGTCTTGGAGGAAAAAAAAAAACATTTATTATAGGTTTTTATCAAGACATATATACATACAGATACATAAAGAACTCTTCAGGAGTTGATGAAACCCTTCAAGAAACTCATTAACTTAAAGATATCACAAGGATATGAATGTGAATGTGTAAATTTCAGAACCAGCAAACATGCCATGCAAAATCTGGTTCTCCTTGGTCTGCCTCTTAAGGGTCCAAGTAAACCCTGAGTACCCCCAGCTTACTGAAGGATACAGAATGAAGACCAGAGCTAGAGTTTGTTTCCCAAGCAGTTGTATCCTAAAAGCACAGTAGCAAAGTAGAAATGTAGACAGAAGAGCAAAAATCTCTCCAGTATTTCTAGTGGGCCCAAACTTTATTCATTTTTATGATTCTTTAAACTGTAAACAAATCATCAGTGAAGAAAACTTTGAAAATGCATATTTCAGAGAAGGCGATGAAGTAAAAGAGAAGATGACTTGGGTCATGTACTTGAACTCTAATGTTACGGTCGGAGACGAGTAGGCAAGATAATCCCAACACTTGACCATGAGACAGAATATCCCACAAATTCCCAATAATCCACTTATGCTTGTCTTCTTTCTACCCTTCTAAATCAGGGCATATTTTATTTATTTTATATTAAGAATATAGAAGAAAAAGTAGATATAAATTAGTTGCTATAAACTTGCTATCAAGCATTCATAAACTATATAGAAAATTTTTCTCTGAAATCAGTGAAACTACTTTAGACCTATTCCTACTTAGAAGTCATCTATGAAAAATTACAAATTCACATTCTTCATTATTTCAAACAGTAAAATAAGAATAAATGTCATGATACCATGTGATTTGGTTTAATTTGACACAAGTATCTGTGGTCTAGCCTAGGGATTAGCATGCTAATGTGGAACTCAGAAAAATCAGGTTCTAATCTGGATATATCTTGTGTTCTTGGAGAAACATTGTCTTTAAATTTCTCTTTCTTCCACCTGTGAAATAAAGATAATATTTGATATGACCTACTTTGTATAGGTGTAATAAGGATTAACAAGGGGATAACCATGGAGAATTTCAAAGACACCTTACATAAATTGAACACAAATCATTTGAAGAAGGCTAACTTTTTTCTCTTATGTCATTTTTTTGCTTTGCAGAAATGGCAGCATTATAGTCATATTTGACCTTCTCTTTGCCCAGTGGGTATCAGATGAAAATGTAAAAGAAGAAATGATTCAAGGCATTGAAGCAAAGAAATCCAGCCAACTGGCCATTTTCCATATTGATGTGAACAGCATTGATATTACAGGTACCTGTGAACATTATTTGATTTCTTTGAATTGTTAAGCTATGAAATTAAAATTCTAGCTATGTATCAGGGGAGCAGTGGGATCACCCTGGACTTTAGAAACCTGTCTTATTGACTGAGGTAACACATTTACATAGTAAAAATAAAATATGGAGAAACTGTTTTGGAGAAAAATGTCAGTGAGAAAATGTTTGTAAAACATCAAACATCAAAAAGGTTCTGAAAATACTGGCATGCATAAATGTTTGTGGGTCTGATCACACTTTTGTCATTGGCCAAGCACACCCTGACTTTCCAGGAACCCTGCATTGGAAAGTGACACATTACTTTGTGATAGTCATATAGATATTATTAGATTACATAGTCAAGTGGCAAATACAGTCTCTGACTGAGGACTTAAAAGAAGGGCTTCCCTGGTGGGGCAGTGGTTGAGAGTCTGCCTGCCAATGCAAGGGACACAGGTTCGTGCCCCGGTCTGGGAAGATCCCACATGCCACGGAGTGGCTAGGCCCATGAGCCATGGCCGCTGAGCCTGCGCATCCGGAAAGCCTGTGCTCCGCAACAGGAAAGACCACAAGAGTGAGAGGCCCGCATAACGCAAAAAAAAAAAAAAAAAGGAAGGAAAGGAAGTAAAAAGAGGGGATTATGAGTTTGATTCATCCCAGTTACTTATAAAAAATAAAACTTTATTTTAAAATGATAAGTAATTTTAAGATAAAAATAATCAAAGGGGAAGAGATATAGGGCATCAAATATAATAGCAAGACAATAATGCCTATCAATGTTAGGTTATTCTAAATTTTCCATTTTGGTTATTTCCCATTCAATTTAATTCAACAAACATGTATACATGTATACCGAGTCCTATTTTGGTTGAAAACAATAGTAAGTTGCCAGGCCCATCCAGATCCACAATCTCTTATCTGTAAACCTTCAGGCTAAATATGTTTTAGAATTCAGAAATTTTTAGATGTTAGAAAGCTCATCAATATATAAATATCCACATCAAGTGGAATAAAGGCAAACAGCTTATTGCCAGTTCAAATAATTTTGCTTCAGAATGAGATGTCAGTATAGATTTGCCCTTAAAGGAAACATAAAAAAACATGCATTTTTAAAATTTTGTTATAGTGGATACAAAATTGCAGACCTCGAGTTGCTTTCCTTTACAACATGGGTTCATAAAGCACAGTACTCCTTCACTAAGCCCCCTACTATATCCTGCTGTGCCTGTTCAGTGAGAAGACAGCTCAGGCTCTTAAGTGCTTCTTCAACTGATGGTTTGGTCCCCTCTGGCATAGCTGCTGGAGCAGAGACTGTTTTGGATTTTTGTCTGATTCAAATGAGCTGAAAACTACTACTAACTATTATTAGCTACAACAGGTGGTTTTTCTATCAACACATTTACTCCTCATACCAATCTTATTACACAGTATCTTTACTACCCCCATTTTACAGATGAGACAACTAACATACAGAAAATTTAGCTATTTCGAGGTGGATTGAGGATTCTGACCCACGCGGTCTTAGCCTAATATCTGCGCTCTTAGCACTTATATTAGAGTTTCTTTGTAATAGTTTTGTCTTTAAACAATGTTGATTATTTTTCAATAGTCAATTTTCTTCTAGAAAGGTGGTATCTTGCTATCTTTATTTGAATAGGCATCAGTTTCTGGAGGTCTGCTGAGGCAAATGAATTGACAGGTGTGCTGAAACTTATTTTCATGACTCTATGGTGGGACTATTTGGGAGAGGGGAGTTTGTGGTTTTAAAAACTTTATTTATTCAATAAAACTATATCCTTTGAATTAACTTAGAATAAGGATCATAAATGCAATAAACTATATCACAACATCAACTCAAGAATATGATCCAGAAGTTGAAGTTACATTTAACTTGTTGAACTACATTAAAACACATTTATACACATAATTAATATAATTAACATAATCAACATAATTAATTTTAGGTATTTAAGTTTAATATACACTTGCATCATGTGAATTTTCAAATTTATTACATTTTTAAATTGGTTAATAATTTCACAGATACCTTTGATTTTTATATAGTATACTGTCAAACCAAACATAGTGAAAATTAAAATATTATCTTCTTTATGAAAATATCTTATAAAACTTATTTTATCTTCTTCATCAATAATCTACCATATAACATTTATGAAACTGCTATAGATCTTTTCGAAAGAAGACAGTGCAGTAATGAAGAAATAACGTAATAAACAATCTAGTTAGTAGAAGAGGACATACCTCTTAACCCACTTACCATAAATATTGTTTTGAATGAAAACAAATTCATTAGATCATAAGATATGATTTTCTTTATTTTTAATATAGTCGTCATTATATCTTTAAAAATATTAAACCTGTTAATGGGTGAAGAAAATAGCTAGTTTTTATCTTTTATGTGAAAAGCACTTTATACTTAAACAGTACTTAGTTCCCTGTAGATATTATCATGTGTAAGATTATTTTGGCATCCATTTGTTTCAGTGCAAAACAATTGATTCTAGGTCTGACAAGATATGGTGTGTTATATTGTCTCTCTTAAATATAAATTATTCTATATAATTATGATGAATAAATAGATATCTTTCTTAAATGGGTAAAATAAAGCAAATATTTTGCATAGGTAAATTTATAGAGAATACATAGAGATTCTGGAAATTCATCAAATGTATCACAATCAAATTATAATTAAATAAATAAATAGGAACATTCAGGATGAGAAAGGATGAAACGGAAACTCTGGTAGATCAGATGCCCTTTGAATGAATATTCAAACTGCACTCGATGTTTTGTAATATATTTCTACTCTAAGCCCTAACGTCAAACCAACTTTATTCCAGCGTCTTTGGAGAATTTCTCTACGATGAGTCCTGCAACAACTTCAGGTCAGTACTTATGGCATTTCAAAATGTATAATTTGGTGATCATAAAACTTTATGACATTAGTCAAGGATTCAATATTTTTCTGGCGGCTCTTTCTAAATTAGATATTTAGTCTTCATATCAAAATGTATAAAGCATACATTTGGTTAGGAATAACATAGTTAATAATATTGCAAAGTTCATAGTGCCTAGTTATATATATAAGGATATGCATTTCCAATTCCAATGCTCCTTTCATATTTTAAATTCTATATATGTATGTATGCATATATGATGTGTGAGAGTGTGTTTGTGTGTGCGCATGTGTGTGATCTCAAAATATGGCTCTGATAATGCAGCCTTGGAAATGAAACCCTGACATTTGTAAGGTCATTATAAATGAGGGAAAGGAATTTAAAATATAATGAAATGATAACTTTCAAAATGTATCATACTCTTTGGAAAGGACAATCTAAAGTTTAATGTTAAATTTGCTCTATTCCAGCATTTTCTCCACCCTATGTTTCTAACTACAATTGGTCACTACCTCTTCACTTTGTCTTATCAAGATCATACTGACTATCAAAAGAGTGCTTTGAGAAATTATCAATCATTTAAAAACTAACCTGAGTTATGTTAAAATGGAAAATCATTCTGTTGTAGAAAAATTGAAGTCAAAAGATTTGAACACTAATCCTGTCTGTCAACTACCAGAATCACTGGGCATTTCACCTTCTGAAAATCTGCTTCCCATAAATTGTAAATAATAAAATTTTCTAAATATTTTAGAAGTCATCACAAGTATTGAATTCATATAAAAATGATTTTAAAGTGTAAATTGTTATAAAACTATAACCACATTACTTTTAGTGTTATCCATAATCATGACCATTTTTATAATATTTGAAAAATCTATTTGTTTGAAGTATCTACTTGGACCAGGTACCATATATATATATATATATATATATATATATATATATATATATATATTACATCTTTATCGGAGTATAATTGCTTTTAAATGGTGTGTTAGTTTCTGCTTTATAACAAAGTGAATCAGTTATACATGTACATATATCCCCATATCTCTTCCCTCTTGCGTCTCCCTCCCTCCCATCCTCCCTATCCCACCCCTCTAGGTGGTCACAAAGCACCCAGCTGATCTCCCTGTGCTATGTGGCTGCTTCCCACTAGCTATCTATTTTACGTTTGGTAGTGTATATATGTACATGCCACTCTCTTGCAAACATTATCTCATTTAGTTCTCAGAATGATTCTGTAGAGACTAATATTTTTTCCACTTAAAAATACATAAGGAATAAAGAATGTGCCCAGAGCCACACAGCTATTAATTATCAAAGTCAGGAAATAAAAAGAATTCCTCTGGACTCCAAAGCCCATGGTCTAAGCATAACTCAAGCTCCTATTTCAAACAATAGCAGATTAATCTAGAACATTTTAGTCTACAGCCATTATGAAATTAATGAATTCTTATGTTTAGTTATTGATAATTGACAAACATCATCTTCATTATTTAAAAAGTAAGCACATCTAAAAACCTCTGCTCTACAGCTCTAAAAATCAATAAAAACATAATAGATTTATTTTCAGCTCCAGATACAAATGATGTATTCTTAAGTTAATAAATATTAATAATTCATAGTAATTTTTAAAACTCTCAAGTAAAATATTAAACAGAAGGAATTCCTAATAATCAGTTTTTAAATGTAATTGATATTTTTATGTCATTTATTTTTACAGACAAGCTAACTACCAGCAGTCCTCTGGCAACTCCAGATCAGTTTTAATATTATTTCTCTTATTTTAAAACAACTTTTCGCTAATATTTCATTTTGACTCCTGAGAATTCTCTGATAACACAGCAGTTAACAGTACCCTTATTTAATAGATAAGAAAACTAGAGCATCAAAGTTTATACTTTTAACCTAATATTTTACCAAAAATTAACAATATATTTGAGGCAATCAAGGCCTGGATTAACTGATCTCACTTCAGTCCTTCATCTATTAGAGCCATGGTTATTACCTTTTGCTAACAACACCACCAATAGGATCAAAATGTCTGCCAGAAAGGATGTAGGTTTCATAGGATGTGAGGGAATTTTTTCTCTAATTATTCTCTCTGCATGCAAGGGAGACATGCTTGCTCTTTCTCTTAACACGGTATGGTTGCCAAACCAGTACCAAAGTTGCCTTGGATTCATTCATTTAGCAATTTTTCATTAAATGCCTACCTTGTGCCAACTCCCGATATGTAACTGTAATGTGAAAATTTTTCTGGATTCCTAGTAATTGTCTACTGTACCTTTGTCTATGTGCTGGTTAACCAAAATGTCTTCTCTGGTCCTAACTTAATCTTCATGTTAAGTGGTCTGGATGTGAACCTAATCTCTTTAGGTAAACACCATAAAGGCAATAGTGTGTGGATCGTCAGCTCCAAAAATAATACTGCCATTTTTATGTTATTAGAATTTATATCAAATGTTATATACATACAAGGAGAGAACATTTGTGAAATTATAAATGATCTCTGAGTAACACAATAATTCTTGGATAAAATGGTTGGTGTGATGTTTGAAAAGCAGAATGATATACGAATCATTAATCAAAATGCTTTATGAAACAAGTCATCCCACCTCTAAACCTATAGAGGTCTTTTATGGTAGGATAAGCCTGCCTGGGGTTGTATGTAGGTGTTAACCATATAGTAGCACAACATATTGAAAAATAAAACTGCTCTTCAGCCCATAGTCCCTTATCCAATGTAGAAAACTATTTATAGCCTCTAAAATCACCTTTCAACACACTTTCAAAAACTGATTTTAGGATCTATAGTGACTAATTCCTTTAATCTAAAATAAACTGAAAAAATAATTCTAATATATTTTGAGAAATTTATTTCTAAAACTTTAAAAGTCAGCAACAAATATCTAAATTAGTGCTCTGTTTTCCATTTATCTGTCTGTTTACTGATTCACTGAGTGATTCAAATAACCCACAGTTATTGAGGACCTCTTAGGTATATAAAATGCTGTAAGAGAAATATGTGGAATGACTTAGTGGGGTAAAAAAATGTGTTAAAGCAAGAAATCCTTGGACTTAAGTTTTCCCCCCTTACTCTCCTAAAGACAAACCCACCAAAATTATAAAAAGTGGCTGAACCATATGACCAATTCCTTGCAGGACTATGTCTTGTCCAAAACGTCCATAAGAAATTTGTTCACACCAAAAAGGTCCTTGATAATTTGGTCCTGTCCAAAATCATTTGGCATGGACCAAATATGCTCATGGACATTTTATATAGGACCAAATTTTAAGGACCTTTTGGAATGAACCAAATGTCTTATGGACCAAAATATCTCACAGGCCAAAGGTCTTGTGACATATTGGCCAGTATCAAAAGTTGGCTAACAGCCCAGTTTCTTCTGGTCAAAGGAGATGGAGAATGGGGAACAGAGAGCATGAGGGTAATACTCAACCCTTACTTTTCTCTCCTAGGGAGTGGAATAGAAATCTCCTTTCCTACATGTAAACTATAAGAATAGGATCAGTACGTATTTAGTCCTATCTTTCACTCTTTATGTAAGCATTTGATAATCAAAATGAAGACCAAAAAGTAACATACAATTTTCAAACATTGAAAGTGTGTGGGTGAATCCACCATAACCATTTCCACCAATTACTGTACACATCACTTTTGATAAGCTACCTAGTCTTCTTGAACTTTGTATTTATTATCTGAAAGACAAAGATTTAAATATATATCTTAGAGTGGTCGTGAAGAAGAGAAATAATACAAATACAAATTAATGACTGGCATAAAGAGGGACACATGTTAGATCCTTTCTCCTTTCCCCCTTCAGACTTAGATCAAAAAAAAAAAAAGCAGCTGGATACTTTTTAAAAACATTTTTCAAAAACTAAACTAAGGTTAAGACAAGATTACTGTATTCAGTAATGCTCATTTTAATCTGATCATTTATTTGACCAAAGAAACTCCATATCCAAAGCTTTCCTGTTATTAGAGACTGTACTAAATTACTTTACTCAATCCTCACAAAATTATAATAAGGTGAGCAGGTGGCAAAATATCACATTCCCTCTTTTACTGGATCCATGAGTCCCCAGTCATCCTTCCCATTTATTCCTCTCATATGTCAAGATACTATAAATCTATAGAAGGGAAAGAGACAATTAAACTTGAAAACCGCAGTTTCCAAGCAATAATTTATTATGAATATGCCTTTCAGGGATGTTAACTTTATTCTCATTTTTTATATGCCTGGAAGACAGAATGTGAGAAAAATCAGCAAATGCATGCATCATATACCTGAGCGTTAGTAATATTATAAATTATGCCGCAGAGAATTTTTATATGATAGTTGGTACAAAGTCCATGAAGATTATGTTCTATTGCTCAACTGTCTTTGTTGCCAATTACTGTAAAGTTTTACTAACCCATTTGGAAGAGTAAAGGGAGAGATGGGAACTAAGGTTGAATTATACCGATTGATTTCTGGCTGCTACAGTGTGCCTGAGAGGGGCTCTTTTGGGCAATTGTTCATATGCTTGAAGGGTTTCTAGAATACAGCTTGTTCTAGTCTTTTGTTGCTTACTGTGTAGGCAATGATTGAGAAAAAAACAAAAGTTTCATTACCATGGGCTTTCTCAATCTCCAACAATATGCAATTTGCCACAATTCCATTATGTGGAGGGGTTTGGGGACTGAAGAAAAGGAACTGGCTGATTTGGTGAAGAACATAAAGTTGGGTCAAGAGAAGCTAAGGCAGAATTATACTCCTCAAATGAATTAATTGCCCCAGGACAAAGACACAGGCACTGTAACCAACACCAAATGTATTTTGACTTTAAGTATTTTTTTTCTCTGCATTTGAGAAAAAAGTATACATATATTGTTAAGCACTGTCCTCTAATTTAAGACATTCCTATGTACGTGATAACAGAATTAAAGTATCTTTCCACTATAATTTCATTTGAATTGACCAGTCATAGTCTTACTAAATAGATTAAATTTGTTCTTTTAAAGTAGATGAGAATTTCTGTAAGGTGATAGCTCTTTTTCTAATACAGTACAATGAAATGAACTTGGTCTCTCAAGGCAGGCATTCATGGATTCAGGTTCTGATTCCATTACTAAGTAAGCTATTAAAGGAGACAATTACCAGGAATCGGGTTTAATTTGTCTCATCTTTGGCCACCAAGCGTTGTTACCCCTATTTAAGTAACAGAGAAAATAAAAATCAAAGATTTCTAAAATGTGATTTTCAAATTACTGTCTTGTGTGTAATACTTCTTATAACTGGTTTGGAAGAAAACAAATAATGGATTTCAGTCTTTTTATCCTCCACAATGCTCAGCACAGAATCTGCACAAAGTAAGCACAAGAGATTCCTCACCCCAAATCACTGGACATTGATATGACTGTGAATCACTCTGAAGTAATCACATTTCAGTGTGTACTGACTCCTTCATAATACAAATATAAACAGTTACTTAAAACCTTCCATTTGCAGAATTCCAAATAATACTAATTTACTGGTGGGTTTTCATAATTTGCCAAAAAAATAATATCCAGAAGATAAAATACCATATAGATATAAAAATATGCCAATTTTTCCCACTCAAGAAAACAGCAACTAATATTCAGACAATTTGAACAGCTTTTAATAAACAGAACCAATTATTATTCTCTTTGTGCACATTTCCTTAAATAGAATTTCTTAACTCCTTTGCTAAAAATTCCCTCTTGAGAAGTACTGTACAGATTTCCTAGAAAAGAAGAAATACTAGAGCAAAAATTAAGGAATGAAATGGTAAACTAAGTAGTACACAAATCAAAGGACTCTAGTTTTAAGAATGGAAGGTCATTTAAAAAAACTGGCATCTGGATAATTTCTGTAATAGTTAATGTGTTAACCAATGATTTTGTGGGGAATTGAAATCATATATGTGTACAAAAGGAGATGAGACAGAGACAGCAGACTAGGTAAAAATAAAATCTGATAAAATCCCAAAACACACTTCCTTTATATAGCAAAACAATATTCATATTTTCCATATTGGTATTTATTTTTTAACATTTTTATTGGAGCATAATTGCCGTACAATGTTGTGTTAGTTTCTGCTGTATAACAAAGTGAATCAGATATATGTATACATATATACCCATATCTCCTCCCTCTTGTGTCTCCCTCCCATCCTCCCTATCCCACGCCCCTAGGTAGTCACAAAGCACCGAGCTGATCTCCCAGTGCTATGCGGCTGATTCCCACTAGCTATCTATTTTATGTTTGGTAGTGTATATATGTTCATGCCACTCTCTTACTTTGTCCCAGCTTACCCTTTCCCCTTCCCAGTATCCTCAAGTCCATTCTCTACGTCTGTGTCTTTATTCCTGTCCTGCCCCTATGTTCTTCAGTACCATTATTATTATTATTATTTAGATTGCATATACATGCATTAGCATACAGTATTTGTTTTTCTCTTTTTGACTTTCTTCACTCTGTATGACAGATTCTTAGTCCATCGACCTCACTACAAAGAACTCGATTTCATTTCCTTTTATGGCTGAGTAATATTCCATTGTATATATGTGCCACATCTTTATCCATTCATCTGTTGATGGACATTCAGGTTGCTTCCATGTCCTGGCTATTGTGAATAGAGCTGCAATGAACACTGTGGTACTTGACTATTTTTGAACTATGGCTTTCTCAGGGTATATGCCCAAGAGTGAGATTGCTGGGTCGTATGA